TAGGCCCAACATTAAGATAAACCTTCCTAAGTTTTTAATGGGACCAGCTTACAAATCGCTTTCATCAAATGGTTCATATGATGTAAAGGTCTAATGGCCCCAAATCATTAAGACGTACTACAAAACTCAGTTTTTTTTAATATACATGAGTAGAAGGTCGGGAGAGGAAGCTCCGTAGGATAAGCTAAATCAATGTAAATGAGGGTAGCTGATTTATTGTTGAGCCAATAACATGGAGTAACCGATTAAACTCGACCTTAGTAAGGTTGTAATATTTCAGGTACAAAGAACAAACAAATACTCAAAGCGGTTGTTGACAAAAATTATGCGGCACTCTGAGTATTATACCAAATTTTGAGAGCAAAATAATAGTAAAAACATAGGTTTTAAGGAATTATAGCCTCATTCTTATCTAGGTAAATGCAAGGCCAATGGTAATATATTGCTTCCCTTAATATAAAGACTGTAAATTTTGTCTAAGATTTTGGCAATAAAAGTTTAAAAATAAAAGATTAAGAGGGAGGAATCCATGATGGGCTAAAGATAGCGCTTTCAATAAGGTCCTTATTAAGTTTTAGGTCAGCAAATGATATGCAGTTTCCAACGATGCAAGTTCTATTAGAGGGACATCCAATTATGGGGGCTGAAGCACTATCTGAATAGTGCAAAATGATGTCAATTTCATGCATTTGAATGTGAAAGACTATCAATTCTTTATGGTGAGCAAAAATTAGGTTATTCTTGGTCAAGCTATCTGTGAATTATAACTGAGATATAAGGGGCAATAGTAAAGTTAATACGAACATACCGAATGATGCCATAATTATCAAAGTAGCCTCCACGTCCATCTGTGCCGAACGATTCTTTGAAAGAAATCATAACGTTATCGATGTGATCGCGATTCCACAGGGGACTAAATATTCTATTGGCAAATCTAGAAATAAATAAGTAAATAAGAAAATTAGTTTTTTTGTGAGTAAGACAGTATCGTAAAGAAGGTGAAAAGCTTACCGGAGAACAATAAGGTTCTGAATCATTTCTTTTCCGAGGTAATGATCAATTCGATAAATTTGCTTTTCCGTGAACATTCCAGCCAAATGGGCTGACAGCTTGTTTGAGGAATCAAGATCTCGGCCGAATGGTTTTTCAATAATGATCCTCGTCCAGACACCATCCCTATACAAGGAAAGGGATCAGTGAAAAAGTTAGCATAGATTGACTTGATATTCTATAGTTTATTATTCGGATTAAATCCGACGACTAAGATGAAATCGAGCAAAAAAAACAAACTCTGGCATTAGCAAGAAGGGCCCATATAGAAAAATAAATATAATCAGTATTGTAAGTGAACACTTCGATAACAAGGAAATCAGTATAAGTGTTAGACATGAACCAGAGAATAAGAAAGATCTTCGCAGTCAAATAAAGGTATTAAATAGGTAAGTAAAAAGGATTTTAGATAAATCTATAGCACCCTAAGGCTCGTCAATAGGGTCTAATGAAGGGAGGAGTGGGTTTATTTAGAACCATAATACTTACGATCGGTAAGACAAGTCAAAGAATCAAAATCGTGAAATAATTTCCCCTCCTCTCTTATCACTCTGTGAAAAACGGGCATGTATTGAGAAGAGATTGCGCTTTAGGCAAAATGTCAGAAATTCATTCTTACTTCAAATTTTACGGCTTAAAAAACAAGCATACTTATCCGTCACTCTAAATGTATCATAAAACTGATATTTTAAAAATATATATTGTCATGCAGAATCATAGGAAGCCTGAAGATTAAGTGGTCCCTTCTTAGTCTAATGTCTATAGCCATTGTATCAAGAGTTTATATAGACTTATTCACTATAAGATTATATAAAGATTAGTATTAAATTTAAACTTAAAGTAAAATAATTTAATGACTTAAATGATATTCCTTATTGAAAGGGCATAAAATGTGGATGGTCATACTTACGCACTAGACATGCAATGTTTCTTAATATTTGTTGCAACAGGCTCGAATACAGAAGGCGGCAATGCAAGGTAAAAAATTCTGTTAACGAATTTTCCATAAGTTGTGTTTATATGGTCGTCAAGTTTCTTAAAGCCGTCAGGCATGTCATAAGCTCCTGAGATATAGTGATGATTATTCCAGAATTCATCTAATCTTGTCAAAGTATTTTCAGCGGCCTAGAGACACATAAAATAAATGATGTGCATAAGAATTAATTCAAACAAATGATGTATAAGCTCTTCAATAACGAATTTTAGAATAACTGAGAGCATAAAGAAGGATCTTTAAGCAAAGATTTTAATGAATACTTCCAGATTAGCACAAAACACAAATAATGTGATCGTATTACTGAGTGTCAAAAAAATCATATTTAACCTATGTTCAATATTTTTGAATAAACAAATAGGCCCTTGATAAATATTTGTATATTTAAAATTTATATGGTTTAAGAAGAGGTTTATATATATATATAAATATCATATTCAGCAAATTTTTTATAATTGAAATATTGAATAAAGTTAAAAGTAAAACTCAAACGCACTATAATGCTGTAAAAGAATGAAATACAACTATATAAAGA